TGTGAGCTCCGTGTCGCCAGCCCTGCCCATGCCAGAGCTTTCGTCCCAGCCCGTGGCTCTCAAGTTCAACCCAACGTGCGAGACAGACTGGTAGCGGCGTAGCAGGTTTGTTGTGTCCGTCTGCGGCTCGCAAGCTCTGTCTGAAGCCATTCTCCTGCTCCAGGCTGAGATCTACGGAGAGGCGGGCAGGGCTGCATCGGGGGTAGGTCAGTGGAGAATGCAGTGCTCAAAGTTGATTTGGGAGCACCATGCTTTTTTTTTATGTGTGTGTGTGTGTGGTGTGTGTGTGTGTGCGCGTGCGTGTGTCTTTTCTTCGGAGCATCGCCCAGCACAGTGCATGTTGCGAAGATGCAAGGTACGCTTTCATGCTCGCGTTTCCTCCTTGCTTCGCTTGAGACTCAAGCTCCACATAGCGGCGGTGGCCTGAAGCTGTCATCGTAAAGCAAGGATGGGCGCCACTTTGTCTGTCGAGGAGGCGCCTGAAGGCTTGGCCAACTCCAGGCCGTCTGCAAGAATTGATGCTTTGGCTGTTGTCCAGCAGTGGCAGGATGCTGTTTCTCTCGCGGCCGCTTCCGGTGACGTGAGGGCAGGGTCTTCAGAAGCCCTGGTCTTCGCGCAGGAAAGGCTGCCAGGAGAAGCGGTGGTTGCACACCTGGAGAGGTTCCTCCCGTGGCTGAAAAGTGCAGATCCCTGGATGTGTTCTTCAACCCGTGACCTCTTCGAGCAGAAGATCTCGCCTCAGGTTCTTGCTGAGCACTTCCACGAGATCGTGCCTCCGCTTCTGGCTGACCCAGAGCTGCGGCCGTGGTCCTTTGGCTTTCTCGCCGCCCGGATGTCTCCAAGCTGCCTCACAGAGCTCATTGACCTAATCGCGCAGCAAGAAAGTTCGTGGAGCAAGGAGCCAGCAACCTTGGAGTTCGTAAAAGGTCAGCTACCCCAAGAGTTGAGTGCAGAGCACGCCGACCGCATCCTGGGACTCTTGGTGAGCAATGACTGGAAGGTGAGATGCTGGACGTTGAACCTCTTGAATCACCGAGTGCCGAAAACGCTGCTCTCAGAGACATGGGAGGAGGTTCTGAGACTTCTCGTTGACCCGAGCTGGCCCGCCCAAGCAGAGTCAGTAGAGACCCTAAAACTCTTGGAGGCAAGGATTCCGAGCGAGCTGATTGCTGAGCAGTTCCACAAGTTCCTTCCGCATTTGCAGAATGCAGATCTGAGGATCAGCAACGCAAGCCAGCAACTCTTCGAGATTAAGATCTCAGAAGAAGTCCTCGCTGTGCACTTCCAGAAGATCGTGCCGCCGCTTCTGGCTAACTCGTTGCGGCAACCTCGGTGGCTTGACCTTCTGACAGGGCGGATACCAACAAGTCGCCTCACGGAGCTCATTGATTTGATCGTCATGCTGAGTGCCGAAGAATCTACTTTTCGGGCCTTGGAATTCGTAAAGGCACAGCTTCCCAGCGAGCTGGATGCTGAGCATGTGAACCACATGTTGCCACTGACACTCTTGGGAAACACTGTCCCCTATGTGAGCTGCTGGACCCTGCACCTCTTGTGCGAGGGAGCAAGCACCCTGCACTTCGCACAGCATTGGGACAAGGTTTTGTCACTTCTCACTAGTCCCAGCTGGGCGGTGCAACTGCGAACCCTGAATCTGTTGGATGAGAAGATTCCGGACGAGCTGATCGCTACGCATTTCCACGAGCTGCTTCCGGTCTTGCACAGTAAAGACTCAAGGACCAGGGATTCAAGCGGTCGTATGTTGGAGCAGAAGGTCTCTGCTAACATTCTTGCTGAAAACTTCCACAAGATCGTGCCTCCACTTCTGGCTGACCCAGAACTGTTGCCGTGGTCGTTCGGCTTCCTGAGAGGGCGGATCGTGGAAAGGCTCGTTCCTGAGCTTGTTGATGTGATCTTCAGCATCCTGTGCCGTCAGGAAGCAGCTTGGAGCGGGAAGGAGACAGCCATGTTGGAATTCATGGAGGCGTCGCTGCCCAGCGAATTGACTGCGGAGCATGTCAGCCACATCGTGGCATTCTTGGCGAAGAGTGATCTCAGTGTCGAGCCGAGATGCTGGACTCTGCAGTTCTTGCGCGAGCGAGCAGGCACCCTGCACTTCGCACAGCATTGGGACAAGGTTCTTGCACTTCTGGCCATTCCCTGCTATGAGGTGCAACAGCGAACTCTGAATCTGTTGGAGGAGAAGATTCTGGACGAGATGATCGCTACGTATTTCCACGAGCTGCTTCCGGTCTTGCACAGTAAAGACTCAAGGATCAGGGATTCAAGCCGTCGTATGTTGGAGCAGAAGGTCTCTGCTAACATTCTTGCTGAAAACTTCCACAAGATCGTGCCTCCACTTCTGGCTGACCCAGAACTGTTGCCGTGGTCGTTCGGCTTCCTGAGAGGGCGGATCGTGGAAAGGCTCGTTCCTGAGCTTATTGATGTGATCTTCAACATCCTGTGTCGCACGGAAGCAGCTTGGAGCGGGAAGGAGACAGCCATGTTGGAATTCATGGAGGCGTCGCTGCCCAGCGAATTGACTGCGGAGCATGGCAACCACATCGTGGCATTCTTGGCGAAGAGTGATCTCAAGGTCGAGCCGAGATGCTGGACTCTGCAGTTCTTGTGCGAGCGAGCAGGCACCCTGCACTTCGCACAGCATTGGGACAAGGTTCTTGCACTTCTGGCCATTCCCTGCCATGAGGTGCAACAGCGAACTCTGAATCTGTTGGAGGAGAAAAGCCGGACGAGCTGATCGCTACGCATTTCCACGAGCTGCTTCCGGTCTTGCACAGTAAAGACTCAAGGATCAGGGATTCAAGCCGTCGTATGTTGGAGCAGAAGGCCTCTGCTGACATTCTTGCTGAAAACTTCCACAAGATCGTGCCTCCACTTCTGGCTGACCCAGAACTGTTGCCGTGGTCGCTCGGCTTCCTGAGAGGGCGGATCGTGGAAAGGCTCGCTCCTGAGCTTATTGATGTGATCTTCAACATCCTGTGTCGCACGGAAGCAGCTTGGAGCGGGAAGGAGATAGCCATGTTGGAATTCATGGAGGCGTCGCTGCCCAGCGAATTGACTGCGGAGCATGGCAACCACATCGTGGCATTCTTGGCGAAGAGTGATCTCAAGGTCGAGCCGAGATGCTGGACTCTGCAGTTCTTGTGCGAGCGAGCAGGCACCCTGCACTTCGCACAGCATTGGGACAAGGTTCTTGCACTTCTGGCCATTCCCTGCTATGGGGTGCAACAGCGAACTCTGAATCTGTTGGAGGAGAAAATTCCGGACGAGCTGATCGCTGCGCATTTCCACGAGCTGCTTCCGGTCTTGCACAGTAAAGACTCAAGGATCAGGGATTCAAGCCGTCGTATGTTGGAGCAGAAGGTCTCTGCTGACATTCTTGCTGAACACTTCCACAAGATCGTGCCTCCACTTCTGGCTGACCCAGAACTGTTGCCGTGGTCGTTCGGCTTCCTGAGAGGGCGCATCGTGGAAAGGCTCGTTCCTGAGCTTGTTGATGTGTTCAACATCCTGTGTCGCACGGAAGCAGGCCACCTTCAGAATTTTGAGGTGGTTTTCATGGATCTCCTGGAGAAGCGACTCTCTTGCCTGCTCCTTGCCATGCCAAGAGACCGCATTGCCAGCTGGCGATGTGAAGAAGGCAACACGTGGCTGCACGTGGCGGCAAAAGCAGGGAACCTCGAGGCTTGCGAGGCTTTGGTGGACCAGGTTGGCCTCCCCTTGCGCGAGAAGAACAAAGCTGGCGACGAGCCACGATGCCTCTCCCTGGCATGGCCGGCCATTGTGGAGGCCTGCACTCCTTCCTCGTTGTCACCGTCTCCGCCGAAACGGATCAGAGAGCAAAAGCCTACGTGCTCGAGAAGGCCCTGTCCCGTGGAAGGGAAGCACATCAGAAGCACGGCATCTTCATCGGGAACCAAGATCTCGGAGGCAACTTGAAGAGCGTGGTGGGCCTCAAGACGCACAAGATGCAGCTTACTCTCAGTGAGGGAAGCCTTCGGAGTGGGCTAAAGATGAAGGAGCTCCATGAGGTGGCTCACGGAACGGGCCCGTATGATCTTGCAAGCTCGAATTGCCACCACGCTGCACAGAAAGTCTTCAACCACTGCTGTGCCAGAGAGGAAGACCAGGAGCTGCAGCCGCCAAACGAGTGGTTGGCAAAGCTTGGGGGCGCAATTCGGTTGGGTGGCCGGTTCAACTCAACCCGCTCAGCCGGCTGTGGCCCAGAAGGCTCCAATTCGGACGTTGCCTCAGTGAATTCGGAAGTGGCATCAGGCAGCCATCCTGCAGATCGCCCGAGTGGCTTTACGCGGTCCGTTGATCTCTGCTGCGACGACTTTGCAGAAGTGGCTGCTGCCCTGAGCCATGCCGTGTATGAGGAGGACCCCGCAATGGTCCTGAGGCTAGCGGAGGCAGGCACTGTATCCATCCGCAACAATCTGTCCAGACCTGTGCGAGTGTTCAACTGCAGCACCGAGACCAGAAACAGAGTGGAGGTCAACGAGGTATTGAATATTGCAGGTGTCACTGAAAAGTTTCACGTGGATGTTGACGCCGTTGCATGGGCTCCAGGGCTCTATCCCTGGAGGAAAATGGCCGAAAGGCAAGCCGTATGGATGGGCCATAGATACAACATGTCCGAAGCCTTCGGAGGTGAGGTTGTGCTGCAGGAGGTGGTGTCAGTTGCGCCCAAGCACGCGGTAGACGTGCTGCGTGTCACACAGAAGAGCGGCAGCAACAGTCCGGTGCAGTGGCTGCTGGCCAGATCGGACAACGGGCTTTACGTTTCCTTCCGGGGGACATATGACTTGCAGGATGTCGTGATTAACCTCGGTGCCGCGCCAGACTACAATCACTTCAAAGAGAACGGCATCGGGGTACACGGTGGGATTGCAAATGCTCTCGAGCAGGAGGGAGATGGAATTTGCAATGTTGTGAACGATGTTCTGCAAGCTTGCAGGAGCACCGCCGACCTCGAGAGGGATTGGTCCTCTGCGGCCATTCGCTCGGCGGGGGTTATGCCCAAGTGATGGCTGTCCACTTGTTGAGTCGCAAGGTGGAAGTCGCGGCCGTCCGAACCTTCGGCGCGCCGCACGTCCTGGTGCCTCCTTCCAGACCGGAAGATCGACAAAAACTCTGGTGCACACTGGACTCGATCACGCAGCATTGGGTACACGACTGGGACCCTGTCCCGAGGCTTCCCTTTGGCAAGACCTGGCTGACTGATGTCCTGCTGAATCTGAAGGTCTTTCCAGGGTTCAGGAGAGTGGCCCAGAAGTATATCCAAGCACTCCAGCGGCACTATGATGAGACGAGGGCGAAGCTCTTGGAGCGTTACGACGTCGTGGGCGAGGTCGTGCTGGTCGGAAAAGCCACGAGCGTGGCCCTCCGCGCGAGCGAGGGGTCCGCAGCTTCGAAAGAGTTGCTCGGTGAGAAACCTCCCGAGTCAGTGATGACTCCGAACAAGCTCCTTGCATTCCACAGCATGGAGGACTACCTGCAGATTGCTAACCAATTGACGGCCTCATAAGCAAGACCATGCACGGTTTCTCTCCGATTCTATCCTAAATTCCAGATCGCAATCGGAGGTTGGGGCATCCTCCGATTGATAGTTGCCTGATTGTTCAGAAAAGGGGGCCGTGGAAAAGCAGGAAGGACGGAGGTGCAGTGCCTGCTTGCACGCTCTGATTTGCATGTCTGCAGTTTTGGAGGAAGGGTTGTCTCGTGGCTGGTTCCAAGCCAGGCTCAGCTTGGGCGATCTGATGCCAGCTGCTGCAGCTGGAGCCTCGAGCAGGAAGGGAGCTGAGCAAACGTATATCCGGGCATCATTAGTTACCAGAGCAGGCGCCCATCGGCATGGCAAGACCTGCATGCGAGTTCCGTCGAATTGGTTTCAGCAGATCAAATCCTGTCGACCCTTTTGAACCCTGTGCCTACTACCAGCAGCACCCTGGAGCCGGCGAAAGGCATGCCAGTCGACGGAAGGATCTTGTCAGCGAACCGTTACTACATAATTCGTGCTGTCTCTTACAAATTACAGGCTAGATGTTATGATTATGTATTCTATGCGCATTATCGTCTTCTTGCTTTGTATTATCTACCATCTGTTATTGCAGGAGCTTCCGGCTTAGCTGAATGCCCCGCTGAGCTCCACGTCATGGAATCCGAAAGGCTGGAGGGTTTTCAGTGCTCGATTGACTCTTGCCATCGTCGTTTTTCTGTGCAGCAACACGATGTGAAACCTGTCCTACATATTTGATCCCAAGCTCAGCGCTGCCAAAGACGTGTCTAACTCCCCAGAGATCCGCAGAGGGCTGTATCTTCAGGTGAAACGCAGAGGCACAAGCAGGACGAGACTGACCACGTTTGCTCGTGGCTCAAGGCGGCGTCCGGTATGAGACATTTCCTTGGCCATGGGCCCGGATCCTCACGAGGAGATTCTTCAAAGCCTGCGCTGCCGCGATGTGTCTGCAAGACTTCGAGCCTTGGATCGCCTTTCGGAGTGCCTCCCGAGCGAACTGCCCGCTAGGCACTGGGTGAAGGTGATCTCGCTGATCGAAGACGCGAAAAACGAGGTGAGTTTGAAGGCACTGACTCTCATGCAGGAGAAGATGCCGAGCGAGTTCATCGTTCAGCACATAGACCGGTTTTTATCCGTTCTGAAAAGCCACTCAAGCCAACAGAAAGACCTGGGGCAGAACAGCCTGTCCCAGAACCCGAAACAGATGAGGAGGGTGTTGGGACAGGAGCAGGTCCAGCAGCAAGTGTCACAGCTCTTGCAGGAGAAGATACCAGGCGAGCTCATCGCTAATCAGATGGAAAAGCTGCTGCCATGCCTGAAATGGAGCACTTTCACCCGGCATCTGTTTGAGGAGAAGATCTCAGGAGAGGTCCTCGCTACACACCTCCAGAAGATCGTGCCACCGCTCCTAATTCACCAGGAGTTGCATATCTGGTCCTTTGGTTTTCTGACGGTGCGGATATCTCAACGGCACGTCGCAAAGCTCATGGACTTGATCATTGGCGTTCTTGCCAGGCAAGAAGGTTGGCTGGAGAAGAGAAGGGTCTTGGAGTTTATGAAGGAACAAATGCCAAGTGAGTTGCATGCAGATCATGTCAACCGCATCGCTGCACTTTTGGCGAATACCGATTGGCAAGTACGCCACTGGACGGTAAGCCTGCTGAGCAGTCGATCTCCCGGCAATACCCTCTTTACGGAGCATTGGCACAGCGTCCTTGCCCTTCTTGCCGACCATGAGCGAACTCTGCAACTGTTAGAACAGAAGATGCCCAAGGAGCGGATCACTGAACTGTTCGCCAACCATTGGCAGAATGTGATTGCCCTGCTCGCCAGTGAAACCCCCGAAGAGCAACAGCGATTTCTCACGCTTTTGGAGAAGCTGCCGAACGACCTAATGGCTGAGCTTTCCTCTGAGCATGGGCAGAAGAGTTTCGCACATCTCTTTGACCCAAGCCTGCGAGCCCAACGGCTTGGCCTAAAACTCTTGAGCGGGAAGATGCCGGCAGGACTGATCAGCCAGCATTTCGACCAGATCTTGGCATCCGTGCGAAGCTCGGATTCTGAGATCCGGTGCACCAGCCGGAAGCTCTTGGAGAGTCAGATCTCGACTAAGATTCTCGAAAAGGATTTTCACAAGATCGTGCCGCCACTTTTGGCCGATTCGGAGTTGCAGCCCTGGTCGTTTGGGATTTTGACCGGGCGAATACCGCCGAAGTACCATGGGGATCTCATTGAGTTGATCATCGTGCTCCTCCGCAAGGAGCTGCCTCGGAGCAGGCAGGGGGAGGCCCTGGAGTTTCTCAAGGCCCAGCTGCCTGGGGTGCTGGGGCCAGAGCATGTCATAAAGATCGCGACTTTCCTCAACATTCCGAAATGCAAGGCGAAGAGATGGACTTTGGATCTGCTGCTTAAGCGGATGCCCGGGGGGCTGTTGTTCACAGAGCATTGGCAGAAGAGTTTCGCACATCTCTTCGACCCATGCCTGCCAGTCCAACGGCTTGGCTTAGGACTCTTGAGCAGGAAGCTGCCGGCAGGACTGATCAGCCAGCTCTTGGCATCTGTGCGAAGCTCGAATTCTGAGATCAGGTGCACCAGCCGGAAACTCTTGGAGAATCAGATCTCGACTGAGATTCTCGAAAAGGACTTCCACGAGATCGTGCCGCCACTGTTGGCCGATTCGGAGCTGCAGTCCTGGTCGTTTGGGTTCTTGACAGGGCGAATACCGCCGAAGCACCATGGGGAGCTCGTTGAGTTGATCATCGTGCTTTTGCGCGAGGAGCAGGCTTTGAGCAGGCAGCAGGAGGCCCTGAGGTTCCTCAAGGCCCATCTGCCTGGGGTGCTGGGGCCAGAGCATGTCAAAAAGATCGCGGCTTTCCTGGACAATTCGGAATGCAAGGTGAAGAGAGGGATTTTGGATCTGCTGCATGAGCGGATGCCCGGCGGGCTGTTATTCACAAAGCATTGGGATCGGATCCTGCCGCTCTTTGATGATCGAGACCCATCAGTGAGGACTGCAGCAACCAATCTCGCTTTGGCGAAGGGGTCCACTCTCCCAAGAGAGCAGCTTGCCGAGCATTCGGGAAAGCTTGTAGCTTTGCTTCAGAAGACCGGCCGCCTGGCTAGTTTTGATCGCATCTTCCAGGATCTCCTGAAGAACCGAAGCCCGCAGCATGAGTTTTCCTCTCTCTTGTCAAAGCTGCCGGTCTCCAGCCTGCTCAGAGCAATTAGCAACGAGAAACTTGCCAGCTGGCGAGATGCGGAAGGCAACACCTGGCTGCACCTGGCGGCTGAAGCCGGGCACGTGGAGGCCTGCGAGGCTTTGGTGGACCAGGTTGGCCTCCCCTTGCGCCAGAAGAACAAAGCTGGCGACGAGCCGCTAACCCTCGCAGCGATTCCCGAAGTAGATCAGCTCCTGAGGAGCAGGATGCACTTCCGGGACACGCGCTTCGGCCATGGGAATGCCTTCGTGGAGATGTTTCAAGATGAGCGGCAGGTGTCCGAGGTGACTTGGTACACGGTGCCTCTCCCTGGCATGGCCGGCAACTTGGGAGGCCTTCACTCTTTCCTCGTCGTCACCGTCTCCGGCACGGATCAGGGAGAGAAAACCTACGTGCTGGAAAAGGCGGCCGGCTCACATGCCAGGGAGGCCCATCAGAGCCACGGCGTCTTCATCGGGAACCAAGATCTCAGCAGCAATTTGAGGAGCGTGGACGGACAGAAGAAGAAAAAGCAGCTGGAGCTTGGCAACGGAAGCCTTCGGAGTGGTCTAAAGATGAAGGAGCTGTATGAGAAAGCTCACAGCACAGGCAAGTATGACCTCGCGAAGTCGAACTGCCATCACGCTGTCCAGCAAGTCTTCAACCACTGCTGTGCCAGAGAAGAAGCCTGGGAGCGGCAGCCGCCAAACGAGTGGTTGGCATTTCTGGCTGCTAAGATTAGTGTTTTCGAGGGCTCAGGTTCAGATGTGGTCTCACTGAATTCGGAAGTGAATTCCAGCAGCAGTGCTGCCCCTGTGGGCTCGCCTCGTGCCTTCACGGTGCCTCTTGATCTCCGCCACGATGCATTCGCAGAAGTTGCTGCTGCCCTGAGCTATGCGGTGTACGAACAGGATGCCTGGAGCATCCTGACGCAAGCACAGCCTGATGCTGTATCCATCCACAACCAGATGCCCACACCTGTTCTCGTTTGCAACCACGACGCCCAGATTAGAAGCAGAGTGGAACCTGGCAAAGCAGAAAGTATTCAAACCGGCGGAGTCCGGAAACTCCTTTTGGATGTTCATCCTGTGGGGTGGTTTGCTGAGTGGAGGCAACCTTTGGCCAAGAAGCAACCGGTTTGGAAGGGCCATTCCTACAGCATCTGCAAAGACTTCCGAGATGACAATGAGGTTGTGCTGAAACACGCAGTGTCATTTGCACCGAGGCAGAAGGTATACCTGCTTCATGCCACGCAGGCAAGCGAGGCAAGCGACAGCGCTTGTCAAGTACAGTGGCTTCTGGCCAGATCGGACTCTGTGCTGTACGCTGCCTTCCGAGGGATGGCTGATGTGCAAGATGCTGCAATAAGTCTCGGTGCCGTGCCAGATTGGCGCAGATTTCAAAAGCACGACATAGCTGTACACAGTGGGATCGCCCATGCACTAGAGCAAGCTACTCGGAACGTGGTGACGGATGTGCTCCAGGCTGTGCAAGAGCACTGTCAACCTGGAGAGCGGCTGGTCCTTTGCGGCCACTCACTCGGTGGAGGCTACGCTCAAGTGATGGCCGTCCATTTGTTGAGTCGGGACGTGGACGTCGCGGCCCTCCGAACCTTCGGTGCTCCACATGTCCTGGTGCCGCCGCTGGATCCGCAAGAATCTCCGAATTTGTGGTTGAAGTTGCATTCGATCACGAAGCATTGGGTGCATGACTGGGACCCCGTCCCCAGGCTGCCCCTTTGCAAGACTTGGTTGGTCGACGTCTTGCCGAAACTGAAGAAAGAAGTCATGGACGGAGTCAGGGTGGGCATGGCCCAAAATTACATCAAAGAACTGCAGCGGAATTACAATGACATCGCGGCACCACTCTTCGAGCGCTACGATGTGGCAGGCGAGGTCGTGCTGGTGAGCAAGGCAGCGGGTTTGGCCCTCCATGCGAGCGAAGAAGCCGCACCATTGAAAGAACGGCTCAGCGAGAAGCCTCCCGGTGCAATCATGACTCTGAACAAACTCCTCGCTTACCACAGCATGGAGGACTACTTGCAGGTTGCTCGGACCTTGATGGCTGAAGCAAGCCCTGCAAGATCATGAATAGGGTTCGGGCTGAATCGCAAGAGGTGTCCTCCGCTATAGAACTTCTCGTTGATCAGATGGATGTTTTGACTGAGCCTGGAGTGAAAGAGAGGATGCGAGAACCAGCGAAGTTTAGTTGAAAGTTCGGGAGCGGCATGGGAGTGGCAAACCTCCTGGTTGATGAAGGGTGTCCTTGTTGTTGACTCTGTGACTGAATGCTTCAGCAGGTCTCTCCCTGTCTCTCTCCCTCTCCCTCTCTCTGCCGGGGCCAGGTCGTGCTGATGATCTTAGGCGGGTGGTTGGCTGCAGCTCGCGCGAGGAGCCATCCTCCAGACAGAGACGGTGTAGAAACACTTTCTTGCGCAGCGTTTTTTTGACGTCGAGCGGCTGCTACAGCGCATCCAAGCATTTGTACCAGTGGCAACGGTGATGCTGGCGGTCGACGTCCCGCCTTCATCGTCACGGGATCGAGACCAACCAGATCATGACTGCGCTTGCGCGTTTGTTGAAGCTGCTGAGTTTGAATTCCCTTCGCAGGAGCTGTGGGCTTCAGCTAGGCCGCGGCCCGGTGACTCAGTCTTGACGTCTGTTAGCGGGTAGATCGGTCGGCAGCTTGCAGACTGTACTTTCTTTCGGTTCTGGCCTGGGTGTAGGATGTGTGCTCTGGATGGGTCTGGCTCAGAACATGCAAGGCCAAGAGAGAGAGAACTTCTGCCAGTGGTGCCTTCAAGCTCGATTTCCCAAGTCTACAGCTTTTGATCCTAGAGTTGCAGGTTTCTCCAACAAGGCCTCGGCTCGCTGCGCTCCGCTGAGGGTCTCTTTTTTTCAGGCCGAAGCTCAAAGCTGATCGAAGACTCTGGGGAACTGGAGTTGAGAGGTTTTGGTGGTGTGCCAGGGCAACTCGATTTTAATGTGAGGTATCCACAGCAAGAAGAAGGACTTACTTGCAGATTGCTGGGACATTCCGAACATTTACGGTCTCATCAGTGAGGCATGTCGTTCGGACTCTCTCTTATGCCCTCTGCCTTTTGCTCTTGCTTTCTCTCTTCTGGCCAGGCTCATAATGGGGACCTGATCTCTCTTTGGCAAGGTGCCGCGCCTGCAACCCGCCAAACCTGGATAAGATTCCTTTGGATGTTGAGGGTATCTCGAACTTCTCTTGTGTAGAAGGTCGCGGGGGGTTCGAGTCTACAGGCCAGGCGTCTTAGCAACGTTTTATGTTTTTCATGCTCTTTAGCGGCAGTTCATGCTTGGGTCCCGCATGGGTGCAGATTCGAAGTCCTTGCATGTAGCCGCTTGTAGCCCTGCAATATGTTGCCTCCGTGATGTTGCGATAGCCGCGCCCTGTGTCCGAGAGTTGTTGCGACAGAGCTATCACTCTGCAGCTCCCCAACTTGCAAGATGTATGCGCGCATTGCGAGTAGTGATGCTGGTGTCCCCCTGGATCTCTGCAATGGTACCGTACACTCTCTAGAAGTGGATAGGAAACCATCCTTCCTGACATCGTCGCTGTGCGCTTTGCTGGGCGTTTGGCACTCACACGTGTCTCAAGCCCGGGGTCCGTGGTCCCACGCACCGCGGCTAGCCCTGAATCCGAAGTCGCTTCAGTCGTGAACTTCTCAAGGCCAGGGAGAATGGCAGAGCTGAGACCCTCAGGCCCACCTCCTTCCTCGCTGCTTGCACCGCATGCGACTTTCCGGGTTTATCCCTGCGTGGGCCGCCTGCGCTCCTTGCCCGGCTTTGGCTGCAATGGAACTGTAGCGGTGTGGCTGGGCAGTTGCGTGCCACTTTGGAGACGAAGCAGGCGGCAGTCCCTGCGCCATCAAATGTCTGGTTCTCGTGCTCGGACAGTACACTTCTGCCACGACGAAGAGTATCGTCAGCGCTTGGACACGATTCTTCGGGACTTGGTTACACCCGAAGCCTTCATCACACTTTTCGACGTAGTTCAAGGATTTTCCAGACTAGGACAAGACGTGGCAGACATGGCAAGCACTGCAGACGGAGACGCGACAAGCATGGCAACAGCCGTGGCAGGCATTCCAGGCCTGCTTGCTGTTTCTGTTGGGCAGGCCTGCGACAAGCAGCAAAGGCGGTCTGAATGGTTCATAATTCTTTTGAGCCAGCACCGGTACTGGGACAAGATACCGATCGAGCTGCTCAAACATCCAGACTGCGGGGCCCTCGCCAAAGGAGCCTTCGAGCAGAAGGTCTCGACCAGGCTCCTGCATGAGTATTTCGAGGAAATAGTGCCACCGCTCTTGGGCGATCCGGAGCTGCGCTCGTGGTCTATTGTGGTTCTGGATGGAAAGATTTCGTCCAAATGGCATAACCGACTTATCAGTCTGATTCTGGATCTCTTGAGCAGCAAAGATCCACCAACTCGGAGCTGGGCTTCGGCCTTGGCGTTCTTGAAGAAGCAGCTGCGGGACAATTTGCGCGCAGAGCAAGTCCAGGCGATGATGGACCGGATAGCAATCAAGGGGTGGACTGAGATAGAAAAGCTGGTTACATTTTTCGGCGCAGGTGCACGGCTCCCAAGGTGGGCTCTGTCAGATGCCCGCCTGCGAGCCCTACAGCTGTTGAATGAGACGATGCCGAGCCAGTCGATCGCTGTGCAGACAGAGAAGTTCTTGCCATGGCTGAACAGTGCAGATAAGCAGACAAGAGCTTCCACGAAACATCTCTTCGAGCAGATAATCTCGCAAGAAGTGCTAGCTGAACACTTCCAGATCGTTCCGCCGCATTTGGCTGGGCGGCAAGTGCAGTCGTGGTCCTTTCGCTTCCGGACGGAACGGATTTCGCCCGAACGTCTCACGGAGCTCATCGACTTGATCATCGTGCTCATCCTCAAGAGCCAAGAATCACTGTCGAGTAGCACCAAGCAGGGGCTCTTAGAGTTCATGGAGGAGCAGCTGCCAGATCAGCTGAGTGCACCGCATGTTCACAAGATTGCTACCTTCCTCGATTGTTCCGAGCTCCATTTCCAGATATGGACTTTGCAACTACTGCAAAAGCGGTTGCCAGACTCAGAGATCGGGATCCTGCTGCGTCACACAGACCACTCGACTCTGCATCGCACATCCAGGCTCATTTTGCAGAAAGCATCTGCGCTCTCAAGAAAGCAGCTTGCCGAGCATTCGCGGCAGCTTGCAGTTGTGCTCCACAAAACAGGCCACCTGGACGATTTTGAGAAGATCTTCTTGGATCTCCTGAACAGTGTCCTGCAGCATGACTGGGCAGAGCTCTTGTCAAAGCTGCCGGTGTCTTGTCTCCTTGAAGTTGCTGTGGAACCCGAGGACATGGTTGCCTGGCGGGACGCAGAAGGCAACACCTGGCTGCACCTGGCCGCAAAGGCAGGGCACGTGGAGGGCTGCGAGGCTTTGGTGGACCAGGTTGGCCTCCCCTTGCGTGAAAAGAACAAAGCTGGCGAGGAGCCCCTGACCCCGGCGAGTCGCGAAGTGGATCGGTTCCTGAGGAGCAGGATGCACTTCCGGGAGACGCGCTTCGGCTTTGGGAATGCTTTCGAGGCGATGGAGCAGGATGAGCGGCAGGTGTCCGAGGTGACCTGGTACACGGTGCCTCTCCCTGGCATGACCGGCCATTGTGGAGGCCTGCACTCCTTCGTCGTTGTCGCCGTCTCCTCCGAAGCGGATCAGAGAACAAAACGCTACGTGCTCGAGAAGACCGGGTCCTTTGGCAGGGAGCTCCATCAGAGGCACGGCGTCTTTATCGGGAACCAAGATCTCGGCAGCAACTTGAGGAGCGTAGATGGCCTAAAGGTGCACAAGCAGCTGACCCTTAGCTCTTGCATCAAGTACAGTAACACATACCTCGCACTATTTCCAGGGAGCCTGCGTCGAGGCTTGAAGATGAAGGAGCTCCATGAGGTGGCTCACGGCACGGGCCCGTATGATCTTGCAAGCTCGAATTGCCACCACGCTGCACAGAAAGTCTTCAACCACTGCTGTGCCAGAGAAGAAGACCAGGAGCGGCAGCCACCAAACGAGTGGTTGGCTCAGCTGGCGTCGATGTTTCAGCTGGGCGGTTTGTTCAACTCAACCAGCTCCGGCTCTGAAGGCTCGGGTTCTAATGTTGCCTCCGCGAATTCGGAAGTGGCATCTGGCAGCCATCCTGCAGATCGCCCGAGTGGCTTTGCGCGGTCCGTCGACGTCCGCTCCGACGTCTTTGCAGAAGTTGCTGCTGCCTTGAGCCTGGCAGTGTACGAGGAGGATTCTGCAATCGTCTTGAGGCCAACGGAGGCAGGCGCTGTGTCCATACGCAACAACTTGGGAAGACCCGTGATCTTACACGACCACACCACGCAAACTAGACTGGACGCTGCCGAGAGAACATGTGTTCAAACCGCTGGTGCCGATAAAATTCTCGTGGATGTGTACGATGTGGAATGCATTCCGGGGCTCTATTCCTGGCGACGTTTGGCCCAGACACAACCGGTCTGGAGCGGGCATGCCTATGATTTGTCCACAGACTTCCGAGGTGATGTTGTGCTGCAGGAGTTGGTGTCATTTGCATCGAGACAACCAGTAGACGTGCTTCATACGGCTCAGAAGAGCGGCACCAACAGTCCCGTGCAATGGCTCCTGGCCAGATCGTGCTCCGTGCTCTACGTCGCCTTCCGGGGAACGAATAATGGGCAGGATATCGCAATTGACCTCGGCGCCGTGCCAGACTGTCACAGATTCAAAGAGTACGGCATCGGCGTGCACGGGGGGATTGCCCATGCCCTCGAGCAGGAGGGAGATGGAGTTTGTCATGTTGTGAGCAATGTGCTGCAGGCTTTGCAGGAGCATCGTCGACCTGGAGAGCGGCTGGTCCTTTGTGGCCACTCGCTGGGTGGAGGCTATGCCCAAGTGATGGCCGTCCACCTGTTGAGTCGGAAGGTGGAAGTCGCGGCCGTCCGAACCTTCGGCGCGCCGCACGTCCTGGTGCCTCCTTGCAGAGCTCGACAAAAACTCTGGTGCACGCTGGACTCGATCATGCAGCATTGGGTACACGACTGGGACCCTGTCCCGCGGCTGCCTCTTTGCAAGACCTGGTTGGTCGACGTCTTGCCGAAGCTGAAGCAGGAGGTCGTCACAGGGCTGAGAGTCGGAATTGCCCAGAAGTACATCCAAGCACTCCAGCAGACCTTTGATGAGACCAATGATGAGACCAAGGCGAAACTCTTGGAGCGCTATGACGTCGTGGGCGAGGTCGTGCTGGTCAGCAAGGCCACGAGTGTGGCCCTCCGTGCGAGCGAGGGGTCGGCAGCTTTGAAAGGGTGGCTCGGCGAGAAACCTCCCAAGTCAGTGATGACTCTGAGCAAGCTCTTTGCTTACCACCGCATGGAGGACTACCTGCAGATTGCTCACAAGCTGATGGCCTCATAAGCAAGGCCATGCATGGTTTCTCTCCGATTCTATCCTAAATTCTAGATCGCAGGCGGAGGTTGGGGCATCCTCCGCTTGATAGTTGCCTGATTGTTCAGAAAAGGGGGCCTTGGAAAAGCAGGAAGGACTTCCCGCTTTCACGATTTGATTTGCATTTCTGCAGTTTTTGGAGGAAGGGTTGCTCGTGGCTTTCGCTGCGATGTCGTCGGCGAGGTCGTGCTCGGAGCAAGGCCACAAGATCGGCGCTCAGTGGACGTGAAGACGCCGCAACGTTGAAAGAGCTGCTTGTCGAAAAGCCTCCAGAGTCACTCCTGACTACTAATCTTACCTTAGCATGGAGGACTACTTGCAGCCTGTCTGTCCGGCAATTGACAGCCTCATAAGCAAGGCCTGCAAAATGCCGGCATGTTCATGTAGTATAGTGTTGTAAACGGAGGTGTCCTCCATCTGGGAGCTGTTCACTAGCCAGCAGTGGACTTGGCAAAAGCGGTCAGGGCGCAGCTTTCATGATCTGAGTGCTTCTAGACTTCCAGCTTCGACAGTGTTGCTGCTAAGAGCAATGCCAGGCTCGATCTGGTGCTCTTCCTTCGGCTGCTGAAGCAAGGTGAATGAGGCTACGGGCGAGGGAAGCGAACCCGAGGGTGAACCGGGCATGTGCGGGCTGACGGGTCCTGCGGTCCTTCAACCAGCGTGAGGAGGGATCGTAGACCTATCTTCCTCTCGGGAGTACTTTTGCTACTTAGTATGTTGAACCACTATTAAAGTAGGCTTCAACATGCCTCAAGCAAATGCATACGCAGCTTCCAATTCAGCGCGCCCAAGCAGTCTCATCCTCTGTGGCAGGCCGTCTTAGATCTCCAGGCGGCAATCGCCATCGTCTTCAGCCAAATGCGGAAGCTGCTGTGCGCATCTGCAGCAAGATGACAAGCTTCATGTGTTCCCTCCATCGACATCAGCAAGAGTTCGGTGCGAGGTGTCTGCGTGTGAGTTTGTCTCTCTGTGTGTGTGTGTGTGATGCATATGTTCGTGCTTTTCAGACTCGAAACATCCAATAGAGTACACAGTGCACGGTGCACACGACTTGTAAACCCTCAGCATCGTTTTGAAAGAGCTTGCCAAGGTAAATGCAGGCCTGAATCCTTCCAGGATATTGCAGCCAGACTGACTCACCCCGTTCTCCCCCTTGCACGCAGCCTTCGGAGACATCGGCTTGTGGCTGCAATCTGAGAATGTAAACGTAGCAGCCGCTCCATGGCCCTGCAATGGATGACTGGCCGGACAGCCCTCGGAGAGGCCTCCCCAAGGGTCCTCGCATGAATCACGTCCCACACCGGAATCTGCGGGTCTGACGGAGCCGCTGTGTGCAGATTCCTCGGGCTTCTCGGTGTCTTGGTTGTCGCTGGGGGTCGCCCCGGCTCGTTTATCACAGGGAGGAGCACTGCCCAGCTGCAGGGCCACGAATGCTTGCGTTGTGATGCATGACAGCACGAGCCGCAAAGTTCAGCGTTGCTTATAGAGCTAAACTTCAGTTGCAAGGCAACCCTCCCGAACTGAATGGGATAGTTCGAGCGAAGGGTTGAGGTTGCAATTCAGAGCAGGCTCGGTGATGCTCTCTGTGTCTCTCAGTCTCTTTCTTGCCAGGTCGTCCTGGTGACCTTCCTGCTGCTTCCGGAGCAGCTCCTCGGTTTCAGTGAGGAGCTCCCAGTCGGGGAGAGGTCCGGGTCGCTTAGCCTTCTGTTTTGGGACGAGCCTGGAGTTAGGACAAGCCTTCGGCTTAGAGTCTCAATTCCGCGGTGATGCTGGTGGTGCCGGTGGACAGCCAAACTGAGTATATACCCACCTACTGGTTTTCCCTGTCCCTGTCATGACTTGGCTGACGAAATTTCCCACAGGAGCTCTGGAAGCTTCAGCAGAAGCTGCGGCGGGAGCTGGGTCAGGCATCGTTGGCCTGGCGTTGACAGACTTCGTTCCCGTCATCAGCAGGATTTCCGAGGGCATTCTTGAGGTCTCTCCGACTGAGCGTATTCTGGGAAATGCATTTAGTCGGCGATCCCCGCAGCAGGTCGTCCGCTCTTTTTCCGGGAGCCCCATCATCAGGCCTCTTTGTGTTGTTGCCGTTGCACCGTTCTGCTTTTGACCCTAAAGCACTGTGAGATGTGGTTCAATATGCATGGCCAGCTCGACCCGCCTCCCTCTCCGATCCACTCATCTTCTCGGATCGCCAGGGCGATCCTGGATGCGGCGTATTGGATCCTGAGGCCGCCGCGCCTTCAACGATTTCGGGTTGAGAGGGCCCCGAGGCAAAGAACGGAGGCTGAGACTGCGCAGTCGGGGATCAGAAGTCCTGCTACTTGCCAGCCTTGCGTTCCAACGAAATGGAGCTGCTCACATATTTGTGAACTTCTGCTAGATTCGCCCCGAAGACGTGTCATGCTCGTCGTTATACAACGTGCCGATTACTGGTGTGCCCTGTTGTACTGTAGGAGGGTGTAATAAACTGAGGCCATTTATGCAAACTTCTTAAGATCGCGGCTTTGAGCTCCATACTTAAACTTGAACCCCAGAACCAGACCCCAAAAGCCCGAAACCCCTCGACCCTAAAGCCCTTAAATCCCAAAGCACCCTTCAAAATCGAGAGAGCAAGACAGCCAGAGCTTGAGATCCTAAACCCTGAACCCTAAACCCTAGACCCTAGATCCTAAACCCTAAACCCTATAGACCCTGAACCCCAAACCTTCAACCCTAAACCCTACCCTAAACCCCCGAGATTTGTTTCCTTGGGAGGAAAGCCTCCCGGGGCCGCTTCGCCTCGCCCGGGTCTCGGCTTGGAGCCGCACACAAAGAAGCGGTGGTCAGGAACAGAAGTGAAAGTAATAGAAATAGTACGTACTACTATGAAGAATCATAAGAATAACAATGATAGGAATATAATAATAGTAATCGTATTAGTAATAGTAATAGTCATAGTAATAACAATAATAATCATAATCATAATCTTAATCTTAATAATAGTAATAGTAGTAAAAATAGTAATAATAGTAATTTAATAGTAAAAATAGTAATAATAGTAATAATAGTAATAATAGTAATTAATAATATTAACAATAGTAATAATACTACTAGTAATAAAAGTAATAATGGTACTAATGGTAGTAAGAGTGGGACTTCAGGAGCCCTTATGCTTTGAGAGGTTCCAGGCCTCCCAGTCTCAGGCCTTGTTCGCCTCCCCACTCTCTCCGCGGCCGTCTCGGCGGCCCACAGGAGGCGTCTCATGGGAAGTGGTTCTTGGGATTTGTTTTATGTGCCTGCGCTTGATGTCTTCGAGGTTTGGCGTGGCAAGGTGGGACCCTGAAGCCAGTGCAATCTCGAAGGAACAGGAACACGACGCAGGAGCGTGGATGCCTCAACCTAGGAACCAAAGCAGGTGGGATGCAGTTGTCGCAGGTGCTGGTCTTGTGGACGGCGCATCAGCAGCCCAATCCTCTGCACGAGGAGACGGGACAGTTTTGTGCGGCCTCAAGCTCATGCAGGTTGACAAGTCGCAGCATGCTGCACACAAGAGCAACTTCGAAAAGACTCTCTGCCGCGAATGGCCCTGCATTTGTGTCTCAGCCCCCTTCAAACAATGACAGGAACAGATAGTGACGACAAGCTCTCTCAAAGACACAAGCCACAATCCTCCTCATCTGCCACGCCTACGACCTCCGAAGCATGAATGATACCGGCACAGGAGACGTACATCCTTGCTTGGAGAGTGGGTGATGGGAAAGGATCTATGTGGCAGGAGCTCCCATGACATGCTTGCAGGCTTGCCTATACAAGGGTGTCACACTTGTTGGGTTCCCCTGTGGTGGGGTAGCTACTCCAAGACGCTGCATTTGTTAGCTCACTGGGACAGATAGATATCCGCAGATGCATGGTCCGCACGAGCTCGTGACTCGTGGGTAGGAGGAAGCCATCAACGAGAATCTGCCTGGCTCCCGGTCCCAAGCACCAAGAACGGGAGTCGGTTCTAAGCATCATATCCTGACCACGCTGGTATTTCGAGTGCTGTTGACAGCGTTGCCACAGCATAGAAGCCAGGCTTATTGGCCGGGCTTCACCAAATCCTCTGCAAGCCAAAGAATCATAGTCCTGCAACAGCCCTCCCAAATTCCAGTTGCCACAAACACAAGCCGGCCCATTCCAAGCGCCTCCCCGACCTGAGGTGTAGAGAGATTGGAGGTGGGCCCGACAGGCCTGGGTCTAAGGGCTTGCGGCTCCTTGCAGGTCATGGAGCCCAAACAATAGGCCTTTTGGTTTGAGGGGGGCAATGCCATGGCAAACCCAACTGCGGCATCAGACCGTCAACTTCCCCTACAGCCTTTAAATTCGTCTTGGAGCTTGAAATTTCAGCAGATCGGGCTACTTGCTCAGGTGGGGCGCTATCCTCGATCTCCCAGCTGAGGCGGTTACGAGGCCTGCGGCCTTGTAATGCAGAAGTACATAGTCATTTTAGCACAATGTGCCCCAAAACTCTAGCCTTAATCATGACGGTCCCTAAATTCTTCTTTGAGCTGTCGGGAGTCTCTGAGGAGCTCAGAGCTGTCTTGGAATTCGGGAGGATCCCTCTGCCCCAGACAACGAATGGGAAAGCTGCAATGGATTAGATAAGTAGATAACCAGGGATAGCTTTGAGAAGTTATCAATTAAGTAGGAACATAGACTTTCTTGAACACAGTATCCTGACCCCCCTCCTCCACCCCCCCCAACCCCAGCCCCTCAACCCTTATGAAACTGGTAGCAGGCTTCCCTG